TGTTCAACAATTCTTGCAGGGAGTACCAATAGTTTCTTGCATTAAGTGAATACATAAATGCCCCAGGATTGATTTTGCAGACATTCCTCCTGTGACTTGAACATTTGGTTGACCACCTATTGGCAGGAGGGATGTGCTGGATATTGGTGACTGGCTCGTCAAGGAAATATGAAGCTACATCACACTGGTAGACCAAATGGCAAGGAAGCGGGGGCTGGAATATTTGTTTTTGATGCGATTAGGCTGTTTGTTGCTTGTCGGTTTAGTGTGTGTGAGATAGGTAACTCAATAATTCCTGCATGATGCAAAGGATCAACAAATATAGGCAATAGATCATTGCAGTCAGTGCAGAATGTGAACTATTTTTAATGATGGGGCCAAAATTGCCCAGTGATGGTTCCAAAATGTCAAGAAAGCAAATGTGAGCACTGGATGAAAATAGCTGTCATCAGTACTCTGCCAAATCCAGGTTTGTGCATTTCACGTGGAAGAAAACAGTGCATAAACTAAGTAATCCTAACATAATGCCACATGAGGTGCAGAGAACATCTGTGGTGCACATCATTACCTGTTTTTGTACTGGTGAGTAAATATGTTACCTTGGTGCTTTTTTGTGACATGTATCTTTGCAAACCATGAGGTGGATAATTGAGCTGTTGTTATAATTAGTCATTTGTTATGAATTTTGAGCCCAGATTGCATTTGTCATGACAGCTCTGGGGCTGGTTCACATGTTATGATCTTTGGACTGTGTGAACACAGCTGTTTGTGCCACCTAGCCATCAGTCCATATCAGCCAATGCTGTTGACTGCAAGGATATCAAAGCAGTATTTCAACCCTAGTATGTCAAGGAAGCAAATAGCTGCATTCTGACTTGCCAGTCCATGCCAAGTCTAAATGGCAATGCTGCCCTCAGGTACTGATGATGCATTGGATGGGGAAAGACAACATAGTTACACAATTTTTGCCACTAACTATGTAGCATTCATGAGTCATTTCTGTAGCTTAGCTCACTGTTGCAGGCTGCTCATAAATGCATTAGTGTGGGAGTAGGTAATGTGTTTCTTGGGCTGCGCAAAGTAGATGACATGATGCTGGGTGGCATACTGATATGAGTGCGGTAAGTTTGTGAGTGTCGTTGGCCAATACAAGAAAATACTGATTTCCTGCTAGCCAAAGTTTCCCGCTAGTAAAAATTTGCATATAACACTGTTTATGTGACAGATTTGGCAGTGCTGACTGCGCAACTCTTGTGTTTCAAGTGCTCTGGCTTGTGCTGTAGCTATAAAGCCTATGAGTCCCGCACAGATCATTTTTCCAACGGAGTCCATCTTCCTCCTCGCCCTCAAAGCTGTCTCGCGCCCACCATGGCTCGTGACATTCGCCATCCATACGCAGAGTACCGGCTTTTTTCTTCTTGTTTTGTTCAGTTCGCCTCAAAAGCGCAGTTTTCGCCCATAATCCGTTCCTTGATTCGAACTAAGCGGGATCGAACTATCGGCCGTTAATCCGACGTAAAGCCGGTTTCGCCCATGTAAACGCCCCTCGCCGAGAGGGTTAACGTCGCATGATCCGTTCCGATCTTAATTCGAATTATCCTCGGCTGCCCATGTAAACCGGGTAAATAACAACGATAGATTGCACCGGCCTAGTAAAAGGAGTATCTCGGCTCTTGTATTCTTCGTCTGGATTGGGATTGTAAGGAACGGGTGCTCAGCGTTCATGTCCATTTGCGGCCATGAGCGATATCGATCCATGTCAGCGATGGTGGTTTGACGAACACATTCGGACGCACTCTCTGTACGTGGTTGACGTCACTACCGCCATCGGGCGTGTTTCCACGAATGCTCCACTGAATGGTGGGGGCCCGCTTAAATATGCGTCGTGTACAACGTCGCATACTAACTACATGCGGTAACCGAATGACGCCTACCGCAGAAATAGCACGTGACGTCACTCCCGCGCGCTTGACGCTTGAAGGATGAGTGATGCGACACCGCCCGCGGCGGGGGTAGGGGTGGGGAGGGGAGACGGCAGCGATCAACGACCACCGCCCGGGGCTGCTCCAGAACGTCACGGCACCGGTGTTACGCAACGGCGGCAAGTCGCGGCACGTGGGTGCTGGGTGAACGGCAACTCTCTGACCGGGCCATCCCCACTGTGACGAGCGCGGTCCATTCTCCAGCGCAGTACCGGTGTCTGATTAGATGAGATCGCTGTGGTTTAATTCTCCGAGATGACCGGCCGGCTCTGGCTCAGGATTGGGCTCAGCGCTAGGCTACCGGCCACCAAACCGCCACACATTTGCCGATGGTCAGTGCCGACCGTGTCGTACGACTGTGTCGTATCGTATGGCGGCGTTATGGCGTACATGGCTGCGTTTTTACGCTCGGCATGTTTGCTTTGAGCATCACTTGAAACGGTTTAGCGTATTACTTGTGGTCGCCGATAAGTAAGGTCTCAAGTGCATGATTTCAACCCATCCTTTTGATTGATCGATCGGCAAACTCGACCATCTATCGTCTTCTTCATCAACCATCAACTTCCTAACTTGTTGAACAATCAGCAGTCAACAATCGTTGACATGTTATGCGCTATTATTGTGTTTTTCTATACCGAACGTGCCAAGTCGCGAATACTGCTTGAAGAAGATAATTCGTAGCCAATTCCGAGAACGGAATGCCTGTAGTTTAATGTCTTCTGCTGGACATTAAAAGCTGCTTTTCCGAACGTGTCGCAGCTGGGAGGCCTTTGGCCAAGCCCTTCCTTCCTTCCTTCTGGCGACGGCAAAAGGCTTCTTTGGCAAGACCATCCGTCCCACAGCACGCTGTGACCAGGGTCTTTCCTCCCCCTTCTCCTGTCAATGACGCTCAAGCTGTTTGGGTGCGATGTTATTACCATTGTGATGAGACGTGCCACACTTGCGGCACACATGACACAGACGATACACGCTCATGCGGCGGGGACATGTGGTGTCAGACAGAGGTGCGGCTGAAACGTGCTGAACGAGCGACGCACCGGCGCTACGCACTCGGGTTATCATTCAACGCCACCGTCGGGATTTTGCTTGATCTAAAACTTTTTCACTCCTGGGTGTGATGCAAAACAGCTATTCAGAGCAATAATTCAATTGGAAGTGCGCGGTTTCGGTACCGCAGTGTCAACATGGTCAGTTCAGACCGACAGCGGCGGCGGTGGACCGGTTTATTAGCTGGCTGTATCTGGGCATCAAACTGAAGATCCGTTTGGCTCTTGGTATGATAATTTTACCTCCATCTCGTAGTTTGAACACAGCAGCTGAACAGCCTATCTATGCTGAGATATCATGTATTGCTGTTGGCGAGGCAGTTGAAGAAGCCTGTGTCGATTTAAATATATGAGCCGGTCGTTAATCATTGTGCGAATATATTTTAACGTCGTCAAAGGCAACAAAAAATACGTGTTAAGCAAATTAACAACTCTACAGCTCCATTGTATAATTGTGCAATGGGTCATGTGCAATCTTGTGGTTTGTTGCATCTCGTGAATGGTCTCGTGGTAAGCAATGAATATTGGTACCTAGGGGTGTCACTTGGTATATTTCAGGGTCTGGTCCTCCAATCTTGACTTAACCCCCTCACGGTGCTTCTCAGCCCCCTAATGCATATGAGCGAAAACAAAAAACAAATGGAATGCTGGGCCAATGAAATGCAGGAAATGTCTGCCAGCTTACGTGGTACAGAACTTCTCATGCAGGAAATATCCGCCAGCTCACTTGGTACAGAGCTTCATCATGTAGGAAATGTCCGCCAGCTCACTTGGTACAGAACTTCATCATGTAGGAAATGTCCGCCAGCTCACTTGGTACAGAACTTCATCATGTAGGAAATGTCCGCCAGCTCACTTGGTACAGAACTTCATCATGCAGGAAATGTCTGCCAGCTCACTTGGTACAGAACTTCATCATGTAGGAAATGTCCGCCAGCTCACCTGGTACAGAACTTCATCATGTAGGAAATGTCCGCCAGCTCACCTGGTACAGAACTTCATCACTATCAATACCATTGTTGTATGTGATCACGATGCCATCTTCAAATGAGAAGTCATTCATTTTTGGAGCCGGCCAAACATTTCTTAAGCTGAAGTGGACTTAAAACAACCGTCAACGGCACACATCAAAGTGATCGAAATCTAGGGAGCTCCTCCTCTCTGGGGAACTCAGTTCCCCTATCGATTTTTGAAAATGACGCCCTGTTGGTGCCGCATTTGGACTTGAGCCACAGTTTTCATTTGCCAGTGTATCAGATTTTGATAATGATTTTGCGTACCTTTTCGTGAGGTATTGTCTTCTGGGTCATCTTCGCACAAGGTCTGCTCACTCTTGTGTCGCTGGGGTTATGTGCGGCTACTCCCAACGAGCCTCTGCGACCGACGCCAGCTCCTCGCGCTCCGTGACCGACGCCGGCTCCCCCCACTCTGTAACCGGCGCCAGTTTCTCCCGCCATGTGACCGACGCCAGCTCCTCCCGCTCTGTGACCAACGCCATCTCCTTTCGCTCTGTAACCGACACCGGCTCCTCCCGCTCTGTAACCGACGCCAGCTTCTCCCGCTCTGTGACCAACGCCATCTCCTTTCGCTCTATGACCGACATCAGTTCATGACGCTAAGTGACCGGCGTCAGCTTCTTCCGCTCTGTAACCGACGCCATCTCCTTTCACTCCATGACCGACACTAGCTCCTCCCGCCATGTGATCGACGTCAGCCTCTGTGACCGACGTCAGCTTCTCCCGCCTTGTGACCGATACCAGCCTCTGTGACCGACGTCACCGTCTCCCGCCCTGTGACCGATACCAGCCTCTGTGACCGACGTCACCGTCTCCCGCCCTGTGACCGATACCAGCCTCTGTGACCGACGTCACCGTCTCCCGCCCTGTGACCGATACCAGCCTCTGTGGCCGTCAGCTCCTCCCGCCGCCTAACTGGAGCCGACCTCTAAGCGTCCGTGTCCGTGTGTCGCCAGGAAGCGACCCTCGCTGGCGGTGCAGCTCAGCGTGTACGGCATGGTCTTCGGCGCCATCATCGCCGCCTCGTGAGTGCCTGGACCAGCGGACCCGGACAGTCTCAGCTGGCCAGGGCTGATGCTGGGGCGGGCAGGGGCACCACTCTATGGGGACTATGTCCTATTCCCTGAGCAAGAGGCGGCGTGCAAGAATGTCGGCGTACTGTTCCGCGTAGGAGGTGGATCTTTAAAGGGAATGTTCCGCATTTTAAGATATTGAAGCAAAGCATGATATATGATGAAGTAAGCTCTCTTATGACTGTTGGTACACTTTTTAAGCGGAAAAGACTGCTCTAGACATCACAATTCTCTGTTTAGTAGCTATACCCTTGAATACGTGACTGTTTGATTGCGTTGTTGCGTCTTGCACAGCATCGATCAAGAGCCAATTAGCGACCGTTGTGCTCACGAACACCAGCTATGAAAGACTCTGCAATTATATTTTCATGGCCTTGATCGCCGCATGACAAATGAAATGGCAGGATTTAGGTGACGTTATTACGGCCTTATGGATGCCTAGGTGACCCTAAAGTAATCTGCACGAAATAGTGTACACATCCTCTTGGTTTTGGAGTCAAGCAACTAGTGGGATTTAAGTTTTGAGAAGGGCAGGGCTGCGAGCTGCACCGAACAGTGTTCATAATGGCTTTCAGTTTAAAACGTCACGCAAATGTGGAACTCTCCCTTGAAGCATAATGTTCGTGTACGGGGACGAACCCCATTTTGGGTTACAGTCTTGTGTTTGACGTTTCGTTTCGTAGAATTCGGCCAGTTCGTTGGTCAGGCAGCTCGGTAAGCACGTACAAAGCCGAAAGCCGGATGCGGAACAAATCACTAAAGGCCTAGGTTGACGCCCACATTACGTCGAATCCCCAGCTGCGTGTCCGACAGATGTCACTGCCATCTGTCGGGTGCGGGTGCAGGTGCTGGCAAGGGCTGGCGTGGCACAGCCACTGGATGCCTAGTCTTCCAGGGGGGAAATTTTAATGCGGCATGGGCCGGGGTATTTTTGTTTGTTGTCAAACTCTGTTTGCTTGCGGAATGCCGAACTTCGTGAGCGTTTGCCCTTGCCGTGCCTCATGTCAACTAAAATTAATGGTTCTGTGCATAACGATTGTTATATCATCCAACCCCGTTGTATGCAAAAGTGGACATTGAGATCTCTTAGCAGTATGGTATTGGAAGACACTCTGATGTATGCAATCGACCCAAATCGAGGTCAGGCAGTGTTCCCTTTTCTGCCTTCTGCCGCCCGGGGCTCCGCCGCCGGTCCTGCGCCCTTAGTGAGTCGCCCTTTCCGGCAGAAACGATCTGTCATTCGACCTCTACGGCTACGTGTTCGTGCTAGCCAACGACGTGTTCACGGCTGCCAACGGCATCGTGTCCAAGCAGAAGTTGGAAGCCCGCGACCTCGGCAAGAACGGCCTCACCTACTACAACTCGCTCTTCATGATCCTGCCACTGACCCTGGTGTCGCTCGGCGGCGGCGACATACAGAAGGTGGGCGCCGCGGTCTGGTCGCGCGGACCGGTGTGGCGGGTCTTGGAGCGGTGGCCGGCCCGGACGGCCCGCGCCGCCGGCGGCCCAGACCCTACCGCACATAGGCCTCTCTGGGTCGCGCGCGGCGCTTGTAACGACGCTGCCAGGCGCACCAGCCACGCGACGGCTGGGGTGGCTAGGCCTGCGGCGCGCTCAGAACACGCGACGACTGGATCGAGATGATCTTCTTGCCGGGGGTGACGCACTGTCGTCTGCTGCAGCCGCGCGTGACGCACGTCTGGCTGAGACCGTGGCCGCGCGTGACGCACCTCTGACTGGGACCATGGCCGCGCGTGACGCACCTCTGACTGGGACCATGGCCGCGCGTGACGCACCTCTGACTGGGACCGTGACCGCGCGTGACGCACCTCTGACTGGGACCGTGGCCGCGCGTGACGCACCTCTGACTGGGACCATGGCCGCGCGTGATGCACCTCTGACTGGGACCATGGCCGCGCGTGGCGCACCTCTGACTGGGATCATGGCCGCGCGTGACGCACCTCTGACTGAGACCATGGCCGGGACGTTCGGACGCGTGGACTGCAGCTGGCTGTCTGCGTCGCCCCGTCCGTTCGCACGGCCCGCTCTCACTGAGTCGGCACGCCCCGTAGGCGGCCGCGTTCCAGCACTGGATGGAGCCCGGCTTCCTGGCGCTCTTCTTCAGCTCCTGCGTCATGGGCACGGCGCTGATGTACACCACTGTCCTCTGCACCCACCACAACTCGGCGCTCACCACCACCGTCATCGGCTGCCTCAAGAACGTCGTCGTCACCTACTACGGCATGATGTTCGGCACCGACTACATCTTCAGCTGGCCCAACTTCTTCGGCCTCAACGTCAGGTGGGCCCGTGGCGGCGGCCCGCTGCCGCCTCTCGCGTGTTACGTAGTGTTACGTGGTGTCGCTTCGCTGCCGTCGGCTTCGGTTCCAGGCATGCACACCTCGGATATGCTATGGCGCGGCAACACTGTTACATTTCAAGCATAGGTTTTTGTCGGCGAGTTGTTCCTTTCGTCGACTGGAAAGCAAAGAGCTCTTTTCAACTGTCCGCAAACCCAGTTCCATACTGGTATTCCCGCTCGATGCCAGATTGCCGTCGTTCTGATGACGTTTGTCCCTCCACGGCGTACGTTGTGATTGGTCGATGCGTTGTCTGACACATGGCACCACCTCGAGTCGATGCGTTGTCTGACACATGGCACCACCTCGAGTCGATGCGTTGTCTGACACATGGCACCACCTCGAGTCGAGTTGGCGTGACACCACGTGACCCATTCCGAGCGGGGTTAGTGTTTCAGCCGGCTGTTACTAGCTTCTGCCACTTTAAAGCTTTTATCTTCTTTCGATTACAACTGGCCTAAACTGGTAGAAGCTCGTAGGTTTTACCGTTCATGATTTTGTCGGCTGTTGGCATATTGCGGTCACGGCGGTTATTGTAATCAAAAGACTAGCAACAGCACACCGATGTCAGAACACGAGGTTGGAAATTTATCAACGTTTGCAATGATTGCCACAGAAACGAGCTTTTTAACCAGTGCCTTGGTCATGGCTTAGGATCCACAATTCAAGTTGTAAAGTGCTGCTGCTCAGACCACTGGTGCTAACACTCCACTCAGGTGGTGGTGCCTTACTGGTACAACCTTACTGCTACCATCTCCCCACCACTACCTAACCAATACCACCTTACCACCACCACCCCCACCTTTTGATGCACCAATCTAAATGTCCGATAAAATACTATGCCTTCGATATGACGATGGTGAAAACCTAGAACAACACTTTCAGTAGATAGCGCGTGCGTGACTTATTTGCTGGTATATTTACGTACACTTTTATAATTGTCATTCCAAATGCGGCGCCCTGAGTTCTATTTTGTGACATCAGCGATGTCCTTGGTTTGAAGCAGACCGTGACAGCCATAGCCGCCATATCTCGTCACGTTCCGCTGGCATTTGGACGTTCGTGAGCTCACTGTTGTAATGCCGCGCGGTGGCTGTAGACGTGGACTGACTGCGCAGCTCACGGGTCTGTACCGAACCCCTGCCACTGATAAACTATGTTAGATATGTATGTAGTGTATGTATGTGTGGACATATGTATGCATATATGTATGCATGCATGCATGCATGCATGGATGTGTGCATGTGTTTATGCATCTCTCTCTCTCTCTCTCTCTCTCTCTCTCTCTCTCTCTCTCTCTCTCTCTCTCTCTCTCTCTCTCTCTCTCTCTCTCTCTCTCTCTCTCTCTCTCTCTCTCTCTCTCTCTCTCTCTCTCTCTCTTCTCTCTCTCTCTATCTGTCTGTCTGTCTGTCTGTCTGTCTGTCTGTCTGTCTGTCTGTCTGTCTGTCTGTCTGTCTGTCTGTCTGTCTGTCTGTCTGTCTGTCTGTCTGTCTGTCTGTCTGTCTGTCTGTCTGTCTGTCTGTCTGTCTGTCTGTCTGTCCTGTCTGTCTGTCTGTCTGTCTGTCTGTCTGTCTGTCTGTCTGTCTGTCTGTCTTGTCTGTCTGTCTGTCTGTTCTGTCTGTCTGTCTGTCTGTCTGTCTGTCTGTCTGTCTGTCTGTCTGTCTGTCTGTCTGTCTGTCTCTGTCTGTCTGTCTGTCTGTCTTCTCTCTGTCTGTCTGTCTGTCTTCTCTCTGTCTGTCTGTCTGTCTGTCTTCTCTCTGTCTGTCTGTCTGTCTTCTCTCGTCTGTCTTGTCTGTCTTCTCTCTGTCTGTCTGTCTGTCTATCTCTCTGTCTGTCTGTCTGTCTTCTCTCTGTACTGTCTGTCTGTCTTCTCTCTTGTCTGTCTGTCTGTCTTCTCATCTGTCTGTCTGCTTCTTGTCTTCTCTCTGTCTGCTCTGTCTGTCTTCTCTCGTCTGTCTGTCTGTCTTCTCTCTGTCGTCTGTCTGTCTTCTCTCTGTCTGTCTGTCTGTCTTTCCTCTTGTCTGTCGTATGGTTCTCTCGTCTGTCTTATGTCTTCTCTCGTTCTGTCTGTCCTGTCTTCTCTCTGTCTGTCTGTCTGTCTTCTCTCTGTCTGTCTGTCTGTCTTCTCTCTGTCTGTCTGTCTGTCTTCTCTCTGTCTGTCTGTCTGTCCTCTCTTGTCTGTGCTGTCTTCTCTTCTCTGTCTGTCTGTCTGTCTTCTCTCTGTCTGTCTGTCTGTCTTCTCTCTGTCTGTCTGTCTGTCTTCTCTCTGTCTGTCTGTCTGTCTTCTCTCTGTCTGTCTCTCTCTCTGTCTGGTCTCTCTCTCTGTCTGTCTTCTCTCTGTCTGTCTTCTCTCTGTCTCTCTCTCTGTCTGTCTTCTCTCTGTCTCTCTCTCTGTCTGTCTTCTCTCTGTCTCTCTCTCTCGTCTCTCTCTCTCTTTCTCTCTCTGTCTCTATCTCTGTCTGTCTTCTCTCTGTCTGTCTTCTCTCTGTCTGTCTTCTCTCTGTCTGTCTTCTCTCTGTCTGTCTTCTCTCTGTATGTCTTCTCTCTGTCTGTTTCTCTGTCTGTCTTCTCTCTGTCTGTCTTCTCTCTGTCTGTCTTCTCTTGTCTGTCTTCTGTCTGTCTCTCTCTGTCTGTCTTCTCTTGTCTGTCTTCTCTGTCTGTCTTCTCTCTGTCTGTCTTCTCTCTGTCTGTCTTCTCTTGTCTCTCTCTCTCTCTCTCTGTTCTCTCTCTGTCTCTCTCTGCCTCTCTCGTCTCTCTCTGTCTCTCTCTCTCTTCTCTTGTCTCTCTCTGTCTCTATCTCTGTCTCTCTCTGTCTACTCTCTCTGTCTCTCTCTCTCTCTCTTCTCTCCTCTCTCTCTCTCTCTCTCTCTCTCTCTCTCTCTCTCTCGCCCTCTCGCACTATCCGCCCCTCGCCCTCTCGCCCTCTCCCCTCTCGCCCTCTTCGCCCTTCTCGCCCTCTCGCCCTCTTCGCCCTCTCGCCCCTCGGCCCTCTCGCCTCTCGCCTCTCTGCCCTCTCTCACTCTCGCCCTCTCGCCCCTCGCCCTCTCGCCCTCTGCCCTCTCGCCCTCTCGCCCTCTCGCCCTCTCGCCCTCTCGCCCTCTGTCGCGCCCTCCCTGTCGCGCTGTCGCAGTCTGCCACCGGCTGATTTCCATTGACCCCAGGCCACCGTCGGCTGCGGCGCCTGATCTCCATGGCGTGTGGCACCATGCTGACCGGTCGTTGTTCTACCCGCTGCAGCATCGCCGCCTAGCATAGTGTTCTCGTACGTGACGTTCGCGGAGAAGGCCGCCTCGCCGCTGCCCGTCTCCGTCCCTTCGAACGGCGGCAAGGTGATCAACACGTAGCCGGGGACGACCAGTGGGCGGCGCGGGCCCGTCACGTCCTCGCCGCACGAGCGGGACGGCCACGCCGATGTGGGCTCGGACGCGGACCGGCGCCGACAGGAGGACGCCGGAGGGAAGCGCCGGCGGCGTTGTCGCTTCCGGTGGAGACCAGTCGTGCAGTAGGCGTGGTCCGACTGACCCAGACGGGTACCGGAGCCGGTTCGGTGGTGACTGGACACTCACCCGGCGGGCCTAGCCGGGCTGTGGGCGTGACCGACCGGCTGTCGGTGACCTGGCGAGGGCGTTGGGGTGCCAGGAGTGTTGTGGCCCCCGCAGCCGCGGTGCGGGCTGCAGCGGTGTCTCTTGCGCCCTGGGCCACTGTGTGGCCCGGTCTTGAACTCGCGCAAGTGGTCTGAGTGCTTGGGTGGACCAATCGGCACCTGTGAGCTGAAGGTCAACGTTTTAATTCTGCTGACGACGGCGGCTGCTCGATTTTGCGCAGCACACGGAAAACATGTGTTCCGCGGTCTGCGTGTAAACCGGTCGCTGATTTGTTTCGATGCCTTAAGTTGTCTGGCGTATCTCTGGGCCGAGACGTCGCCCGTAGGGTCGCCCGGGCGGCGAGGCTGGCAGTGCCGAACAGTGTCACAAATGTCCAGTGCTTTCCCTCGAACCGGGGCTCTACGCGTCGTATGATGCGTTGTCGCTTCGGGTCATCAAGTACATATCACGACTAGGAAGAGACCGCCTCGTCGGCGTCTGTATATAGTGCATTTCGATTTTGTGTTAGACAGCCAGTTTTACGCATCGTACAAATGTTGCAATACAATCATGCAAACTTGTGTACTGTGCAGGGACATGGCTTGTTGGACATGGACATAGACTAAGTTGGACAGCGCAGGTGCAATCTTCTGCTGAACCGATCTGGAGCCAGTATAGCTGTCACATGTAAATTCTTAGTTTTTCGACTGCCTTTCCTGCAACTGTTGCGGGCATTGGTGCCACCGTGCGTGAGATGGAGCCTTTTTCATTTGGGCTTTCAGCGAGAGCTCTCCTTGCGAGTCCTTGCTGCTAGTTCGAGCGCTCTCTTGACTGTGCCGTCTCGTGCGTGTGTGCGTGTATGCGGTGTTTGGTGGACGTGTATTTACATAGAATGCGTTGTGCCAACTGTATACATGACTGCGTTGCTGAATGATTTACTAAAATTCCGCCCAAAGATGTATTCAGGAACGGATTTTCATGCGTTATATGTTGTCGTTTGAAGGCAATGATTTCGGGGAGCTGACTGGGCATTCAGTGGGAGGATGACACTGATTTGGCAAATCCTGCGTGTGTATAGCAAATGCGCGCATGCGTTGGAGCGGTAATGGGACTGGGAACACCGACGCAGACTGCAAACGAACATGTAATAGATATGCATAAAGCTTTCCCACAGATTTCCCGCGGTACACACGCCATCTTGGAGGCAAATGCTTGGAAATCCTTAAAACTTAAATGTTTGGTAAAACCAAGATCAGGTCATCTGCTCTCCGACGGAAACATGTTTGGTAAAACTAAGATCAGGTCATCTGATCTCCGACGGAAACATGTTTGGTAAAACTAAGATCAGGTCATCTGATCTTTGACGGAAACGTTCTCCGGCCAAACTAACTGCTGCGAAAATGGTATCCGGTCAAAATACTGTGCCACTTTCTCCCGCTGAAAATCCTTCGCGTTGGGGTCTCTGGGTTGTGAAACAGCCGGCAGTACGCCAGCACAGTCGCATCATATTCCGACCACTACGTTGAGATTGCTGAAAGGGCGTATTCACACATCTTGTATATTATTCGTGTGCTCAAAAGGCTGACAAGCAACGGCCTTCCAAATCCTGGTGGGCGACACGCCTGCAGTACAGGCGGATGGGCCAGCCGTGCCGCTTGGCTCGCGCCGATGCCACTGGTCGACACCAGGAGTCAACTCGGGCCTCTGAGAACGGCTGTGGACAAGGGTCGATGGAGAGGCCATTGAACACGCAAACATATAAGTGTTTTGCCCCGACTCATGAAATTTCGTGTACTCTTACTAAAAATGTGCATGAAATGACCACCAGTCACACAGGCCGTGGCTAAATCACGGAAGAATGCACAAAAAATCAACGTATGCTGCTCCTCAGACACGAAAAATCCCAGAACACTGAACACTGGCATGGAACAAGCACTCTGGCGTCTGTCGTCTGACGTCAAAGCGCCTTCACCTAACGTGTTTTCTCCATACAAGGTTTACGCCAGTGGATTATACGGCCGTCGTAACTGGTGCTCGTCAGTCGAGGGAGGCACGCATGATGTTCGAAAAACGTGCACTTCGACAGCAACCATCGGGCTAAGCGTGTGGTCAAGACGGGGATTCAAGGGCAGTCCACGTAAGTCCCAGCCTACGCTGTCTACATGTCCATCCACATGACCACATCCCACTTCAAAAGCGCATAGAAAAACGCACTTCCGGCATCACTATGGAGAGGCACGGCGTCCTCGGCCAACTCTGACTCCCGAAGCCGACTCTGAATACAGTTGGCTGGGAAGAGGTCGACTCTGATTAAGAGGCCTGAGACAAAACGGGTTGAAGTAAATGCGACTTTGCATGGAACATATTGAAACCAGCCCTACGGAAGAAGCCCGACGCTGCATGAAACCGACGGCCGTGTCCGCGGCTGCGCGGAGGCAGTCACGTGACACGCGTTACAGGGTGAAACTGATGTGCAAAAACGGTATGGCGAAGTTAACTGGTGCCGAACTTGCGTCGGCGTGTAAGCGCTCAATCATGAGGGGGGTATGGCTTATGACTCCTGCACCGCGTGCACAGCGCGACTTGGGAGGGTCGCACTCTACTCGCGGCGTCTCTGTTTCGACTGCGGAAAACAGATGATCACAGCTTGGGGATGCAACAGGCACTTTGAACAGCATGAAATCATGAAATACGCGAGAAAATTAACTGAAACCACAGTAGTTGAAAAGGTTTTCAGCATTCATTCTCGTACCTACATATACTTGACTGGTTGTTCATATGCTTTATGCGTCCTGATCCTATGTCGAGTCTTACACATGGTCATATTTCAGAGGCATGCATGCGCATAGCATAGAGGCGGGTGCCAGCAACAGCTGCAGTGACCATATGCTATGGTGCCATGCATGGGGCCGGGACGGTGGCTTATGGGCAGAGCCCATGCGAGTCACAGCTAAAGCCCAGATACCAGCACATATGCAGCCCATGCTAACATGGACCACGCTTGCCCATACAAAACTCTCATGACTGACAAAACATGATATGACATGACATGACAAAACCCTCCCATACCAAGACTCTCAAAACCCCCATGATTGAGCGCTTACTCGCCGACGCAAGTTCGGCACCAGTTAACTTCGCCATACCGTTTTTGCATATCAGTTTCGCCCTGTAACGCCTGTCACGTGACTGCCTCCGCGCAGCCGCGGACACGGCCGTCGGTTTCATGCAGCGTCGGGCTTCTTCTGTATTGCTGGTTTTAATCTGTTCCATGCAAAGTTGGATTTATTTCAACCAGTTTTGTCAAGGGCCTCTTAATCAGAGTCGACCTCTTCCCATCCAACTCTATTCAGAGTTGGCTTCGGGAGTCAGAGTTGGCCGAGGACGCCGTGCTTCGCCATAGTGATGCCGGAAATGCGTTTTTCTATGCGCTTTTGAAGTGGGATGTGGTCATGTGGATGGACATGTAGACAGCGTAGGCTGGGACTTACGTGGACTGCCCTTGAATCCCCGTCTTGGCCACACGCTTAGCCACACGGTTGCTGTCCAAGTGCGCATTTTTCGCATTCCTTAGTCCAAAAAAATGTCATTTTCATTACGGCATGCCCTCCTGCGGCATGCATCATTTCAGGGCAATTCACCGTTTAGGCTCTTTCAAAGGCAGGTGGACTGGTAGTTTATTCAAGGCCCGGCTCCTATGATGGAGATCATTATTAGTGCATGCAAACTTTGTGACTTTAATGAAATGAACTCTTTCCCTGAGTAACACATGTGCAGGAATATTTGCGCACAGGTTATATATACGTTAATTACATTAGCAATCTATATGAAAACGCATGAATTTTTATAGCGATCTCTTACCACTGAAGAACATGGGCGTACAAACAACGCATGCGACTTTAATCCATGGATTTTTGCGCCCAGAAAATGTTTGTTACGATAGTTTCCCGACCATCATTTTGTCACACAAACCGTGTCTATGCACCTTTTTTGCTTGATAAGCCTTTTGCACGACGGGCACTTTAGCATACCTACGTTGTTCTGCTATACTTAGACGCACAAACTTCATCCCAAGAAACTTTATGAAGCGATCTTCGCAACAACCACCAGCTGACACCTGAGGCAACACAGCAAGGTCAGTGTTTATCTCTGCTTGCGGACAAAAGCACGCATAGCAAAGACCAATGGCAACTGTTTACAGGTTACAAGCTTGCGTGCATATAAAGCCCATAATGATGCGCTATGTACGGTATCAGCTTTGTAATGTGAAAAGTTTCTCACGTAAAACTTTGCTCGGTAAAATAATCGTCTGAAAAGGTTCAGTACAACTTAGCTCGAACTCATCTTCGTACGATGTTAATACGTTCTTTTTGCTTACATTTTGCTTGCGCCAACATCCCACTTAACCATTGGATATGCATCATCGCTTGACATGGCTATCACCAACTCTCCGAACAAAATCCAACTCACGGATGTCGCACCCAGACACTGCAGTAATCATCACTTAGCCACGCCTATCTTGAACGTGAGACGCAAAAGAATAGCAACAGAAAAAGCAAAACTATCGCCGAATGAACACTGATAGGCTCTTGCCGATATGCTATTTAGTCGTCGCTAACTGGAACGCTGTCCTGACGCCTTTTCCGCCTGATGAACAGTGGGATGCGTTCCTGACTATCGTGAAACTGCTGCTTGACAGGATTTCCCATAGTGGGCAGTCCAGATTCACACCATCCCGCTCTCCCTGTGTCAGACGGCGTTTAGGAACTCATGACATAGCGTTGTGCACGCCATCACCTCGGCGCGATGTACAGGCAACTGAATAGTTGGGATCATGCTGCCAGCATCAATCACCCTGCATGCTGGCAGCCGACGTGACTGCCGCGAGATGTCTTTGTGTCTTCGACGGCAGTCGAAGACACAAAGGGACGGCGAGGCCCGAATGCGAGCACCGCGTCATTTGTAGCATCGTCGGTGGCAAAGATCATCGCTATCAAAGCTTCCAGATAAGCTGAAAGACCAGTCCAAAATTTGAATTCGTCGCTGACATCAGGAGGAAGACGTCCAACAAAGTGTTGACAGCAACTCCGGTGGTTACACAGGATTGCCGCATTAGACGAGTATGCGACGATTTCTCTGCCCGTGACATGCCACTAGACATTAACTAACATGCGTCATGGCATCGACGAGCACCAGCTTTGCTTGTTGTCGCAATGGCAGGACGATTCATATTGCCAATGTCTGCCTATTCGCCCTCATGACAGCACATTATCAACAACCGTTTTCCTCTCTGAAAATGCCATAGAAATGGATCATCCCACTTGTGAGGCCTCTCCTTAGAGCTGACAGCGTTAGGCAACTACAAACCAATCTCGCTTATTCCCATCGTGCCTGTACTAAGATTACGAGAGGTTATGGTGCATTCTACACCACGCAATCCGACATCTCGAGACAGCACGGGGTTTGTGTAAGGTTTGTAGAAGGTAAGGCAATCCTGAACATTACAGATAGCACAGTGCGGCGCATTCCTTGCCACTCATTGCAGTACAAATGCATTTCCCTAGTCACATGAAGACTCTAAGCCGTTTCTCGCCATTGGCCAAACCCTAAATACGTCAAAACATCCAGTTTACCTGGCGTATTAGTGAACTATCGATGTTGGCTTACCCTGGCTGTTGTTTTAGCCGCGTTAGTTAAATATTCACTCGGCTTTCCGCTAGTCTTGCCACTAGGTCTGTTAGCGGAGCTGTTAAGCTCTTCATATTCGGGCCCATGACGATATCTATGAGATTTAACGCGCGCTTGGGTGGAGGTCAATTTGACCCTCCTCCGCAAATTTTTCCGGAGTGGTTTCCGAACGTCGAGGCGTAGCCACGGTAAATTTTGCATAGCTGTGGACAATTGAACAGCGGATCGTTCCGTGACAAAAATTTAGATGTATCTTGTGAAGTCGCTGACCTACGGCAGGTCAAAATCGGGCCGGGGGCTTAGCGAAGTCATTTCTAGGAAACCGTTCAATCTGATGCAACTGCGGAGTGTTAGACCAAACCATACAGTTTTGAAATACTTTCTTAAGCAACACAACAATTAAATGAACAAATTCCAACGACCGAGGGTCAGATATGAATGTCAGACCCAGGTCAAAACCCAACTTGTTTCATCACTCTGGGGTTGCTGTGTTGAGTAGTTTCTGGTGCTCATTTCGACTTGATTGATAACAGGAAACGCATTATACAAGCTTTCAGACTTCCCAAAAGTCAGAATAGGTCACTGACCTAAAACATCCCAGGTCAACATGTTCTTTAAAAGCATACTAGCGTAATCTTAGCGTAATCTTAGCGCAGCGTAGCCTTAGCGTAGCATAATCGTAATCTTAGCGTCATCTTTGTCGCTTATTCAAACGCAAACCCCGAAGCGGCCCTGTATGACTTTGGTTACCATGACCTTCGAAGCGTCAAACAAGATCACTAGCCTTAAGTGAGCGCGTGACCTTTTTGCTTAGAACAGATGCCAAGGTTCTGGGGGCACTTCGGACATCAAACTAAAGTTTGACCTTGTATGGCCATATTTGACCCAAAGATCATGACCTAGGAACCTCAAACTTTGACCCAAGTGATTTCACGTACAGACGTACCCTGTCAATATGGTGTCTCTAGCTCTCCTAGTTTCTGAGATCTTAGGGGGGTCAAATTGACACCCCCCACTCGAGAGAAGGGTATCGAACCGGCCACTCGGGCGCGCGTTAAAACCAAAATAGCTTCCTGAAGACCAAAATCGAAAATTATATTCAGTGCTCAGTGGTGAAAAATGCGCTCAAACCTGTAGGGGTACCTTAGCCCAATGACCCTTTCCCGCTTTTGTTTGTACAACCATTCACTTGGTTGCAGCCGTGGCAATCTGATTTAAGCTGTTTTAACCTTGCAGATCTAGCGCTTCCCTGACGTCATTAAGCCATCAGCTGATTGTGGATAATCTCGGAGGTGTTCTTGAATGATCGTAACAGCTGATTTTAGCCGCAAGCGTCGTGGTGGCGCGCGCCTTCACGTGTGATTGTGTTGTTGTTGATGTGAGGGCGGTTCCATGCTTGCTGTGTTTTTGTTTTATGCGTGGGGTTGTCGCCCGGGTTTGCCAGCAATTGAAGTCTTAATTTGAGAGAGGTACGAATTAGTGTTTGCTTCTTCGCATTGTGACGCGTCTTTCGGTTTGAGTACATAATGTCTTTTAGCCAGTCTGTGGACTATTTATTGGCAAGCATGCCAACGGGATAGTTGGGGCGGGCAAAATGGGAATGAATAGCACTGCCCTTATATTTTCTGTCTTCATTTTTACTGATGGGATGGTTAGGCATTCCATTAGGGACATTTGTAACCTTTCTCGCCCCCATAACATGATTCATCATCATATTTTGCATTTTTTTTGTTCTTACCAGTTTTTCTTCATTGTGGATTTATTCATTGTCATTGTTAAACCTCTCATGATCTTAAATGCCTCTTTCAGGTCCTATTGTAGCCCACAGTATTTCAATGAAGGTAAACCCAAGCCTTAAAGCCTATCTTATTTCCCAAGTCACCAAACCCATTAATGATCCCAGCTGCACTGGTGCAGTCATTCCAGCCTATCTACCCCTCTTCAGAAGCATGGGGCCAGGCCTGTACACAGCTCTCTGGGTGAATTCTGACATAAACTCAGGATGACTTCTTGACAACATTTGTACTCCTGTAATGGACATTCCTCTCTCAACTTCCGAGACCCAGCATCTGAAGCGCAGTGCTCCTAGCAGCCCCACATTGCTTTTCTGCCTTTGAATCAATGGAAATGATAACCACTGAGCCCATTTTTACCTTGATCTCCCTAAACTCTGACCATGATTTGCACCCCAGCCCATTGGTCGTTCAGGGACCAGGATAGGTGCCACACTGGGATGGAGTTGTCAGCACAGTCCTCCAAAAAAGGATTTTAGTTGATGATAATTCCCCAAACAGGACCATGATGGCTATTACTCTTTGAAGGTAGCATTTCTGGCTGGGAGTGTAAGAAGGGAAGGACTCAATGTTGTCATGGTGATATGAATCAGACCATTTCTAAGTCAAATGTGAGTCTATACAGCAATTGTCAGTCAGTGTTTTCAAGCTGTCTGAATTTCATTGGTCATGTATCATGTGTAGGTGGCAGCTATTTATCTTAGAAAATGCGTTGGCAGTCACTATGCATGATGTGAGCCTACAAGTGCAGTGTTTTGATGAGCTCTAAAGACAGCTGTTATATATATGTCCAAGATCTCTGCACCATAAACAGTCAGTATTTCTGTACTTGCTAAATGCTTACTACTCTAAGGTTTTTTGGTTATTGCAGGGGAGAGCTCCTGTAACCATCCTAGGATGACAAGCAGACCTGATACCTTCTATCCAAATCCTGATGTAATTTTTGGTCAGCTGCTACTCATTTTTTTAAAGGCCACTGATGCAGGTGCATGTAATTGGATGACACCTGTTGGCCTGATCGGCCTCCTCTTCAGTAGTGCACCTCCCACAAACATCCAGTTTTGCAACCATCTCAGTTTTATCTCAGTAACATGTCCCCAGGTGTGAGCAAGGCTGGACAGAGATGTGATGGTAGGATTTTCAATGTAAGTATGCTTCCTTGTGGTTGATGACCAATGCCCATGATCAGATGGAGAGCCAGGGTCTGCTGGACGACTCCTTGATCAGCGGCTCGCAGCCCACGCGTGCTGCCGGGGTCTGGGCCGGCGGCGGCGCGGACGTCTCCTTCTGCCCGGACTCCCAGAACACGCCACGACCGCGGGCCGCGCCGCTGGTGCCGGCCTCAGACGAGAGCGACACGGACTTCGAGGAGGAGGCGGAGGACGCGGCGCCGCTGCCCAGGCCGCGCCGCCTCAAGGACTGCCTGGTCGACGCCGACGGTCCGGCGGTGGTGGACGACACACTGGACGTGGAGGAGGAGCGCTATGACACAGCGCCACTGGAGGCCGGCCCGCGCTCTCAATCGCCAGTGCACGAAACATTTGTGGACGAATCGCGTGTGGATGATGTGGACCTGGAGGCGGACACACAGCTTGTGGACAGCGGCAACGGTGCCGGAACCTGGAGAGACCAGTCTGCGGACACGGCTCCCGGCCTTGTGCCTCGCACGTCCTCGGGCTCCGTGGACCTGGAGGCGGAGACACAGCTGTACGTGAGTGCTGCCGGGGGCGAAGCCACGCGAGACCAGTCTGCGGGGACGGCTCCTGGCCTTCTGCCCCGCACGTCCTCGTCTTCCGTGGACCTGGAGGCAGAGACACAGCTGTACGTGAGTACTGTCGGGGGCCAAGCCGCGCGAGACCAATCAGCTGGGACGGCTGGCGGCCTTGCGCCGCCCACGTCCTCGTCTTCCGTGGATCTGGAGGCTGAGACGCAGCTCTATGTATCAACGAACTCGTCAAAGGGTGTGAGTCTAGAGGCGGCAGCTCAGCCGCATGAACCTACGCCGAGGTCCTCCTCCCGAAATGCGCACCTGGAGGCGGAAGCCGGGCTGTACATCTCTCCCATCAAAGCGCCATCCAAGGCGAGGACGGCAGACTTGGACGCCGAAACCGAGTTGTATATCTCTCCCGTGAAATTTGCATCCACGTCGCCGACAATCGGCGTGAATGCTGCAGCCCATCCGCCCGTGAGTGCCGCCGCTGAGCCGGATCCAGGACGGTCACCAGTGGTCGGGCAGGGCCGCTGTACACCTCGCGCGCCTGAGAGGCACAGCACGGCCGGCAGCCGCCCCCCGGACGAAGACTGCGGTGTCGATCTGGACGCGGCTACTCAGGTGTGCCAACCGAGGTGTGACAACCGCGCGGACTTGAGTGCTGTGGATCTGGACGCGGCTACGCAGGTGTACCAGCCGAAGTGTGACAACCGCGCGGACTTGAGTGCTGTGGATCTGGACGCGGCTACCCAAGTGTACCAGCCGAAGCGTGGCGACCGGGCGGACTTGAGTGCTGTTGATCTGGACGCGGCCACCCAGGTGTACCAGCCGAAGTGTGACAACCGCGCGGACTTGAGTGCTGTGGATCTGGACGCGGCTACCCAAGTGTACCAGCCGAAGCGTGGCGACCGGGCGGACTTGAGTGCTGTGGATCTTGACGCGGCTACCCAAGTGTGCCAACCGAGGCGTGATAACCGTGCAGACTTAAGTGCCGTGGATCTGGACGCGGCTACTCAGGTGTATCAACCAAGGTGTGACAACCGCGCAGACGCATGTGACGTGGATCTTGACGCGGCTACCCAGGTCTATGAGCCCGAGGTTGTTGACCGCGAACGAGCCTGCGATGTGGATCTCGGTGGGACTAGCCGGGACCGCGAGCGGAGTGGTGGCCGTCGCACGGAGACCTGTGGCGTGGACCTGGACGCGGCCACGCAGGTTTACCAACCGGAGGACGGACGCAGTGTCGAAGCGTGCGACGGGGACCTGGATGCGGCTGCCCAAATCTACCGGCACGAGGGCTGCAGTCGTTCGACCGCTTGCGACGTCGACCTTGAGGCGGCCACTGAGGAGTACCGACCCGACGTTCAGACCGGACCCGGCCTGGACTCGGCCGCGGCGCCGCACTCTCCCGCCACTGGCGGCGGCGCGCTGCTGACCTACGCCGAGACCGACTCGGACACGGACATGGAACTGACGCAGCCGTTCGCGCCGACCGCGGCCGGCGCCGCGCCGCCGGAGAGCGGCAGCGAGACGGCGCTCAGCGGCGACGAGGAGATGGACACCGGCCGGCGCGGTCCGGCCGCCGCGGCTGCGTCCGACAGCGAGACAGATATGGACGAGGGAGCCGCGCCCGGGCAGCAGCTCTGTGCACGGACGGGATCGGCGCGGAAGGCGCTGTACGCGGGCGACGTCACGGACGAGGAGGAGGTGCCCGGCCAGGTGGCGGGCGCCGGGCGGCGGCCCGTCGGCCGGCCCCCGGCGAAGAGACGCCGTCGCTCGGCCGCCGGCCGCTGCGGCGGACAGCCAGCGGCCCGCGCGGCTGGCCGGCCACGCCTCCTCGCCGGGGAGGATCCCCCACCACAGCGACGTCGACGCGGACGACGAGGATGACCACCTCGAGCGGCGGAGGAAGGCGGCCTGTTCGGGTGCGGCGGAAGGGACACGTGAACTGCGCGATAGTCAGTGGGATGTGGAAACCCGGACCGGAGCGCCGGTCTGGCGAAGCGATGCTGAGCCACCAAAAGGAAATGCACATATTGACACGGAAGATGATATTGCAACCCAAACGAGGGCTGCCGGTTATTCAGGCACAGAAAAAACGATTAAGTGTCGTGGCGACAAAGATGATCTTACTGCGGCTCGAAAGAGATCACCCTGTACTTCTAGATCGCGAGTAGGGATGGGCAGTTCCGACGAAGATGATCTTGAGACTCAAAGGAGATTGCCCGGCCCACCAAAACCGGAAGTAAATGTTGAGAGTTTCGATAATGAAGACCTGATTGAGACTCAGAAGCGTTTGCACCACGCACCAAGATTGGTGAGAGGCGCAGATGGTTTTGACAATGAAGACCTGAAGACTCTGAAGAGATTGCCTGCTCCCCCTTGTTCGCAAGGAGTGGTGGAGGGGTCTGATGACGAAGTAGATCTCGAGAGTCAGAAGAAGTTTCCTGCCCTGTCTGACAATTCTCAGGTAAGGGCACAGGACTCCGACGAAGACGAGGGTCTTATTGAGACTCGAAAGAGATCTCCAGTCCCCGTGAGCTCACAAGGAACTGCAGAGGTCAACGACGGCGATGAGGGCCGCATCAAAACTCAGAAGAGACCGCTAGTCCCCTCATATTCGCGACAAAATGTGCAGGTTCTCGACGACGATGAGGACCTCATCGAGACTCAGAAGAGGGTGGCAGTCCCTTCACGCTTGCGGGAAGCTACAGGGGCCTCCGATGATGAGGACCTTATCGAGACCCAGAAGAGAGCGCCAGTCCCTTCACGCTTGCGGGAAGCTACAGGGGCCTCCGATGATGAGGACCTTATCGAGACCCAGAAGAGAGTGCAGTCCCTTCACGCTTGCGGGAAGCTACAAAGGGCCTCCGATGATGAGGACCTTATCGAGACCCAGAAGAGAGCGCCAGTCCCTTCACGCTTGCGGGAAGCTACAGGGGCCTCCGATGATGAGGACCTTATCGAGACCCAGAAGAGAGTGCCAGTCCCTTCACGCTTGCGGGAAGCTACAGGGGCCTCCGATGATGAGGACCTTATCGAGACCCAGAAGAGAGCGCCAGTCCCTTCACGCTTTCGGGAAAGTGCAAAGGCCTCCGATGATGAGGACCTCATCGAGACCCAGAAGAGAGTGCCAGTTCCTTCACGCTTGCGGGGAAATGCAGACTCCTCCGATGATGAGGACCTTATCGAGACCCAGAAGAGAGCGCCAGTCCCTTCACGCTTTCGGGAAAGTGCAAAGGCCTCCGATGATGAGGACCTCATCGAGACCCAGAAGAGAGTGCCAGTCCCTTCACGCTTGCGGGGAAATGCAGGGGCCTCCGATCGATGATAGGACCTTATCGAGACCCAGAAGAGGAGTGTCAGTTCCTTCACGCTTGCGGGGAAATGCAGGCTCCCCGATGATGAGGACCTTATCGAGACCCACGAAGAGAGTGTCAGTCCTTCACGCTTGCGGGAAATGCAGGCTCCTCCGATGATGAGGACCTCATCGAGACCCAGAAGAGAGTGCCAGTCCATTCACGCTTGCGGGAAATGCAGGCCTCCGATGATGAGGATCTCATCGAGACCCAGAAGAGAGTGCCAGTCCCTTCACGCTTGCGGGAAAGTGCAAAGGCCTCCGATGATGAGGACCTCATCGAAGACCCAGAAGAGAGTGCCAGTCCCGTCACGCTTGCGGGGAAATGCAGGCCTCCGATGATGAGGACCTTATCGAGACCCAGAGAGAGTGCCAGTCCTTCACGCTTGCGGGGAAGGCAGACCTCCGATGATGAGGACCTTATCGAGACCCAGAAGAGAGTGCCAGTCCCTTCACGCTTGCGGGGAAATGCAGGCCCCGATGATGAGGACCTTATCGAGACCCAGAAGAGAGTCAGTCCCTTCACGCTTGCGGGAAATGCAGACTCCTCCGATGATGAGGACCTTATCGAACCCAGAAGAGAGTGTCAGTCCCTTCACGCTTGCGGGAAGAAAGACAAGGCCTCAGATGATGAGGACCTCATCGAGACCCAGAAGAGAGTGTCCAGTCCCTTCACGCTTGCGGGGAACTGCAGGGCTCCTCCGATGATGAGGACCTTATCGAGACCCAGAAAGAGGTGTCAGTCCCTTCACGCTTGCGGGGAAGGGCAGAGGCCATCCGATGATGAGGACCTCATCGAAACCCAGAAGAGATAGTGTCAGTCCCTTCACGCTTGCGGGAAATGCAGGACTCCTCCGATGATGAGGACCTTATCGAGACCCAGAAGAGAGTGTCCAGTCCCCTTCACGCTTGCGGGGAAATGACAGGGCCTCAGATGATGAGGACCTTATCGAGACCCCCAGAAGAGAGTGCCAGTCCCTTCACGCTTGCGGGGAAATTGCAGACTCCTCCGAATGATGAGGACCTCATCGAGACCCAGAAGAGAGTGTCAGTTCCCTTCACGCTTGCGGGAAGTGTAGACTCCTCCAATGATGAGGACCTTATCGAGACCCAGAAGAGAGTGCCAGTCCCTTCACACTTGCGGGGAAATGCAGACTCCTCCGATGATGAGGACCTCATCGAAACCCAGAAGAGAGTGTCAGTCCCTTCACGCTTGCGCGGAAATGCAGACTCCTCCGATGATGAGGACCTTATCGAGACCCAGAAGAGAGTGTCAGTCCCTTCACGCTTGCGGGGAAGGACAGAGGCCTCAGATGATGAGGACCTCATCGAGACCCAGAAGAGAGTGTCGGTCCCTTCACGCTTGCGGGGAAATGCAGGCCTCCGATGATGAGGACCTCATCGAACCCAGAAGAGAGTGTCGGTCCCTTCATGCTTGCGGGAAAGTGCAAAGGCCTCCGATGATGAGGACCTCATCGAAACCCAGAAGAGAGTATCAGTCCCTTCACGCTTGCGGGAAAGTGCAAAGGCCTCCGATGATGAGGACCTCATCGAAACCCAGAAGAGAGTGTCAGTCCCTTCACGCTTGCGGGGAAACACAAAGGCCTCTGATGAGGACGTCATTAAGACTCAGAAGAGGTCACCAGCCTCCTCGCACTCGCGACTAACTGGAGTCAGCCCTGGCGACGGAGAAGATGGCGTGATAACCCAGGAGGGGTTGCTGGCTCCAGTCCAGTGTGCAGGCGCCTCAAAGCCTGGCCACTCGGACAGCGAGGACTGCCTGTCGACTCCGGGCGTGATCTCGGTCAAGTCTGCCGCGAGCGCGGGCGAGGTGGGAGACGCTGAGGACATGGTGGCCACGCAGCGGATGGCGTCACCGCCAGCGGCGACGGGCGTCCACAATACCTCGGGCTCGGAGCTGTTCCTCTCGCCGAGCCGCCACGCCAGCAGGGAGAGCGAGACGCAGGAGACCCGGCTGCTGCCGCCGAACTCGCGGGACGTGCTCCAGGTGCTGCGCATGACCGCCTCGCCGCGGCCGTCGCCGCTCTCCGAGCGGCCCGAGTCGGAGCTGGACTCGAAGTTCGCGACGCAGCCGCCGGCGCACGCGTCGCCGGTCGGCCGCCGGCGGCTGCTGTTCCAGGACGAGGCTCCGGAGCGGGGTGTTGCGTCGCCTGACAGAGACCACGATATGGACAGCACGGCAAGCTCCATGGCGAAGGACGAGGCGCGGCCCTCTGAGGGCATGGCGGGGGCGGCGGCAGGCGAAGCCGAGGTCGCAGCGAAGGCCGGGGCCGCGGGGGTGGCTTCTGAGGGCGAAGAGCATGTCGGCCAGACCCGCGAAGTCGACACCGGCACGCGAGGCAGCGCATTTGGCGAGACTGCACGCGCTGAGACGCGGAGGGCACGGCACGGTCGTCGTAGTAACGTTCTCGACAATGAAGTTCACCAATGTGCAGAGCCGACTGTGTGTGCTGCCCCGGCCGCCGCGGGGGCGGCAGTTGCTGCAGGGACCGGTATCGCCACGCCACCCAGCACGCGCTGTCGCAGGAAGCTGGCTCTCGTGCCCGACCAGAACCCAGTCTCTCACCGCTCGCCTCAGGGCACGGACCGTTCTCCGATCATCACGGCGATTCGCAGCCGGCGAGGGAAGCCGGCGCCTCAACGTCAACCGCCGCCGGCCAGCACAGAGCATCTGGAACCGTCCGTTGTTTTAAAGCGGATGCATGAGGCAGGACGGCAACGGGAGTGCACTGCCGAACGTTCCCAAGAGATTGCGCGTACGGAGGGGCCACGACCTCTCGCGAGCGCCGCCGGAGCTCGTCCACGGGCCAGACGGACGTCTCTTTCGGCGGCAGCGGCCGCGGCCGGCAACCCCGAGAGGAACGCCGAAGCTCAAGCTCCAGCCCCAGCTCGGGGCCGCGGGAGGAAGCGGAAACCGGTGGCGCCCGGTCCTCAGGACGGCGCGGCAACCACTTCCGCACCCGCAACAGCGGCAAACGAAACGTCCAAGGGGACCCGGTTAGAGGCGGCGACGGAGGTCCAGCGCACGTCGAGCCGCCGTGCGCGCGCGCCCGTCAAGTTTTCGCCCAGCAAGCCGTCGGAAGGCAGTCAAAAGAGGCGTCGCAGCGGGGCGGCGAGCGAAGGCGGCGCCGACGGTGCGGAGGCCGCGCCCGGCCCGGCCTCCAAGCGGTGTCGGCCGGACGTCTCCCCCACCGCCAGTCGGCGTGGTAGACACAGTCACGGGCGATCCGTCCCGGTGAAGGTGGAGTTACCATCGGACTCGGACGCCAGCCCCGTCTTCATAGGATTCAAGCGTGACACGACCGCCAGCACGGCGGCGGCGCCACCGGAGGAACCGCCGCCCCCGTCCCCGTCACCGCCACCGAGTCGTCGGGCTCGACGGATCGCCGCGTTCGACGCGGCCCCGGCGGCGCCGGCCGAGTCGTTGCGACCGCGCGCGAGGAGCAGCCCCGCGGACGGCCGTGTCGTGCTTCCGGCCGTCGGGCCGTCGGCGGCGGCTGCGGTGGCGGCTGCGACCGCGACTCCGCCGCGAGCGAGGAAGGCCACGCGGGCCACGCGAGCGGAAGGACCCACGGCAGGACGGAGCACCGGTCGCGCCGGCCACGCCGGCCGAGGCTGGGGCGGGCTCCAGGACGACCCGGTCCCGCGGAGGCGGCGGCGCAGAGGCGAGCGGTGGTGAAGGCAGAGAGGGTCCCGGCCGAGCCCTCCCCCGCCCACGTCCCTAGGCATGACCGCGGCCGCGGGGCTGCGCCGCGCCCGCCGCAGGCGACGGAGGAGGTGGAAGAAGACGCTCCGCCATCGTCCGCAGCCACCTCCAACCGTGGCCGCGGCCGCGGGGCCGTCCGGCGCACGACGCGGGCAGCGGAGGAGGTGGTACAAGACGCTCCGCCATCGTCCGCAGCCACCTCCAACCATGGCCGCGGCCGCGGGGCCGTCCGGCGCCGGACGCAGACAGCGGAGGAGGTGGAAGAAGACGCTCCGCCATCGTCCGCAGCCACCTCCAACCGTGGCCGCGACCGCGGGGCCGTTCGGCGCCGGACGCGGACAGCGGAGGAGGTGGAAGAAGACGCTCCGCCATCGTCCGCAGCCACCTCCAACCGTGGCCGCGGCCTCGGGGCTTCGCCAGAACCGCCAGGACCAGCCGACGTCGAGCGGCCGATGACGGTGAGAAGCGGGTGGCGCGTAGGTATCTGTAAAGTTGAATGCTGTCGTTGTTTTTAGATAGTTGGAACGGTGCCGTCCGCGACTGTGGGCTGGTCTTGACGGCAAACATTCAGAGGTACTGTCTGACTGAGAACCGGAATGCAAACTGGCGCTGATTTTTGACGAAAGGGTCAGAAGATCCAGAGTGTGACCTGAGGCGCAATGGCTGATGCCTATCCTATCAGCCAACTTTCCACTGCCATTGCGCACTGCATGCATCGGGTTGCGTGACTTGGTTGTACGTGCGGCATCCTTCCACCATTCCCCACAAACGTATGGTTTTTTGTTGATATATCGAATCTTATTTTTCCATCAAACCTTTTACGTCTGGTTTTGTATTCGGCTTTCTCCAGCCTTGCAGTCAGACGCGCGAGAGACGTGCCTGGTCCAGCCATTGCGAGTTTGTCGACTAATTCGCCCGCGCGCTGAGCCTCGCTTAGTATCGTGACGCTTTTCTTCAGACACGGAATCCGATTCGAGGCATGAAGACAGCTCTGTCGTCACTGTCTCCTCCCAAGTGGTGAGTTGGAATCGACGTGTGCTTCATCACGTCATCTGTTTTGCTCTTCTTACGGCTGTCGCAAATACAGTGAGCCGCGCCGCCAGGGCGACAGAGGAGCTGATCAAAAGAGCGCGGAGGTTGTGCTTCGGCCCGCTGTGCGTGTGCCGCCTGATGTCTGTCGCCCCTGCCAGGACACTGCCGCGTCGTGCCGCGTGCCCCAGCGCCGCGTGGCGCCCCGTCCAGCGTGTGTAGAAGTGTGCGCTCGTGCCGGCAGTCGCTGCGGTCGGTGGGGGGATCTCGTCGCGGCGCCTCGGCGCGCGGCCGACCCCGCGTGCTGTTTACCGGCTTCTCCAGCCCGCAAAACGAGCGCGCAGTGACGGCGCTGGGTAAGCAGGCCGGCGGCTCCCGGCCGGCCGCCGCTGCGCCGGTCGGTCCGGCGTGTCTCATCATCTCATCTCATCTGACGGACGCGCGTTGGTATGGAGGCAGGGGGGAGGAGGCTGCTGGAACGGAGCGTGGACATGTTGTGGGACGTCTCTGCCAGCTTTCCTGCGCTGTTAGCTCGCGACTCCGTCAGCGATCGCTGGTGATTCGGTACCGTTGGCGGGCGCGGACTGCGCCTGACGAACTCGGCGTAGGCGGAGCCGCAGCTAGCTTCACTGCTAGTGGATCACGGCCACACCGCCGGCTACGTGTTTGTGTTGCTCCTGTCGCACGTGACTTGTTTGCAATGCCCTGCCGTGTTACACCTGCTTTCGCCCTGTGGGTGGGGGGTGAGGGCTTCATGTTTTGCATCTTGCAATAGCTAATGTATCTGAGAATGACGCTGCAGCTATTGCAGTTTCCCGATGCTGGAGTCGGAGCATGATCATCCCTTCAATGTGTCGAAAACACTGGTGTCCTGGTGACGTGTCGCTTCGGATACGTTCTTCCGCTCTGCCCGCACGGTATCGCGGACGGGTGGGATGATTGTTGTTCATTTTCTTGGCGACAGGTGGCGAGATGGTCAAGCGGCCTGCTGAGTGTACGGTTCTCGTCACGACGGAAGTCAAACGGACAATCAAATTTATGGCCTGCTTCGCACGAGGCATTCCTATCGTATCGCCCGCGTGGCTGACCAAGTCCAAGCAAGCAAAGTTCTTCCTGGGTAGGTGAATGCGTTTTTGCAATGTATTTTCCCATGCACACTTCCATTCCATCCACTTGTCCTGTGGCTCCTTGAAACGCATCTGGTCGGGCTGCTCTTCTGCCTCTCGGTTGGCAAACATTGCACATGACATCCTGCAAAGTGGACTTTGTGTGCACCGTTCTCATGTGGACTCCTGGGCACGCCTCGTCAAAACGACGTCTCCTCCCAGGCCAACCGCACTGTCCTCAAACCGACGTCTCCTCCCAGGCCAACCGCACTGTCCTCGAATACATCAGATTAGTGTGTTCGTACCTTCACAGTCGCCAGGCTAACCTGAACCTAGTCTAGCGTACCAATAACCGCGCCGTTGCATTTCTTTTCACCGTTTTACATAGCAGAAAGCAGAGTTGTCGATAGCTAGGCGGCCAGGTGAGGCCTTGCTGATCTCCGCTGACCGCCGAAGGCTCGCTTCGGCCGCCAGATCCGTGGGAGTTCCTCGTGCGCGACGGGCCGGCCGAGAAGAAGTTTGGCTTCCATCTTGACCTGAACCTGCGCAAGGCAAGCCGCAGCGCCCATCCGCTGCTGCGCGGCTGGTCGTTCTACGTGACGCCGCACGTGGTGCCGCCGCCGGACCAGCTGCGAGGTGAGCGTTGACACGGACACGGGCACGGACACGGGCACGGGCACGGACGCGGGCACGGGCACGGGCACGGGCACGGGCACGGGCACGGACACGGACACGGACACGGACACGGACACGGACCGGGCACGGGCACGGACAGGCGGCCAGCGATTTGTCTGGGGAGGGGGGGGGTGGGGTGAGAGGGATTAGTTTGCTTGGTTCGCGCGGTCCATCGCTTAAACGAAAACACATATTACAGTGGCGGGCGAGCGGCCCCGGCGCCAGCGCCCGGGAGTGGCCCACATTACAGGTCGCTGTCTTGACAGATGTGGATCACGCTGACCAACGCCAATAGGTCTGATGTGCGTATCACTGCTGATCTCGGCAGCGGTGAAGTGCTCTTTGTCCCTGATCCCTGCCTTCAGAGATAAGGTGTCCGTGACACTGAGCCTCCAGTGCCCAGAGATGCGGAGCGGTCAACCCCTCCCCCCCCCCCCTGCAGAGATGTGAAATAATGACATAAGTTGTTAGGTGCATTTCCGACGAACATTATGCATGTAGATAAGACGGTGGTAATATCGTTGTATCGTTATTCCTCGGAGAAAAACCGGAAGAATGAAGAAATAGTGCGTTGATGTTTCGGCAACATGCATTTATCGAAAATATAAAGGCATGTTGCTTCGTTTTGGTGAACGCATATTGCCGAAATACGAACGAATCTATTTCTCCATTCTCCAAGTTTTTCTACGAGGAATAAGGTTGTTACTTCTGTCTTAAGTAGATATAAAATATTCCATGTCATTCATTTTAATCGGTTAAGGCGTCTGCGTTAACCGCTGCGCGTCTGGGAATCCAGATGTATGGGGTTCGATTCCCCGTGGCGCCCGCCCTTTCTGCCAGGGTGAGAGGCAGGTGACACCATATAGCCTTAGCAGCTGGGTGCGTCGTAAAAGCCCCAAATGACACCCGCCCGCTGTGTACCACCGAGATCGTGCAGCACTCCGTGACGGGGCTCCACATCGGCAGAGATCGTCGAGTGCGCCGGCGGCGTGTTCCTGGCTGGACCGCCGCGCAGTGCGGCCGACCGGCTGCTGGTGGTCTCGTGCGTGGCCGACACGGCCAGCTGGACAGCGGCGCGCCGGCTCCACCTACCGGTCGTGTCGGCCGAACTGCTGCCTCAGCGGCATCCTCCAGCAGCGGGTGGACGTCGACGCGCACCGCCTGTTGGCCTGAGCCGAGCGCGCCCCACGGCGACGGTCGAGGGGTCCCGGCCATCGGTGGCGCCAAGTGCCATTGTACCTGGTTGAGCTGGCGCGAGTCAGGAGGTACAGGGGCCACGGGGGTGGTTACCAGCCGTTCTGTAGGGCCACGCGTGAGTGGTTCGTCGCGGTTTGGAGGAATAGTGTGTGCCAAGTCGAGCCCCCCCGTCGCTCGTGATATTGATGAGAACGTGGGCTGGTGAGGTGGTGGTGCCATGCACAGTGCAGAGCGACTGCGTCGGGCTGCTCGAACATACTAACGCGGATTGGAATTATGACAAGCTTCAGATCTGCATGTGCATTAGGCAGGAGGACTTTTCGATACGCTTGGCTTCCAGTGAAAGTATCCTCGTGAACGTGCGACAAAATGAAGTGTACCTGATGATGGGATGTGGAAGGTTGGATGGGATAATGTGGGATTATTTTAGTGATATGCGAAGTGTTGCATGAGTATGTGTGTCTTGTCCTTGCGAGGAAAATAAACGGAATAATTTTCATGCTCACATAGTCTGCAGTTGGGATACATCTTCGGGCCCTGTCAAGAAAGGGCACGCTTTTTGGCAGCGTGCATGCACACAGATGTACGTCCCACAGGAAAACGCGTACCAGAATTGATTAATGTATTAGTTCCTAACACGATGTCCACGGCCACGTCTTTCCATAACCTGCTCACTGGCCCTGCCTGCGCAACAGGTGGTGTGCCGGAGCCGCACGCGTGGCCATCTCACGAGCCAACTGCGGCGCAAGCCGGACCTGGAAGCTCACGTTATGGGTTAAAACATCCGCTTGCATCGTACCGAACCGGCGTGATGTTCGAAAGGCACAACGAGCTGTA